GCTCCTCCTGGGGAGCGGGACGGCTGGCTGGCTGGCATGGGCTCCTCACCACTTTCCCAGCCTGGTAGCTGGGGCCCGGTGCCCTCTGGCAGGCGTCCCGTCATGTGTAGTTGGCCCACCTGTGGGTAAGTAAGGCTCTGTGTGTAAGGCTGAGGGCAGCCCCGCTCTGCTCCCACAGGCGCTTCCTGAGGCATCAGTATAACTTGCAGCTCAGCAGACGTGCCCAGCAGGTCCGCGAGGAGCTGGTGAGTCCAGTGCGCATGCAGCCCGCCTGCCCTCGCCCTCTTGACCATTGCTCACATGCGAGGGCATTCTCCCAAAGGGCGGTCCCTGGCCTCCCCCAGAGGGGATCACTGGGCGCACAGCCTTCCAGAGAAAGAAGGGCTGGGGGGCTGGTTCTAACCAGAACTGAAGTGTGCACTTGACAGAGGAATGGGGAGCCGTGCAAAGGGCAGGGAGTCTGGCAGGATTCCTGTTGGCGGGAGCTTTGGGGAGTGTGCTCTCGGAGGCTGGGGCAAAGCCAGCCAGCCCCACTGCCCACAGCGGGGACCTGCTGCCCTGGCTCCCTCACAGCCGCCATCCTAGAGAGGACACAGGGCCATGGCCCTGGCTGTCCCGGGCTCCTGGTGTTTTCTCTCGTCCATCAAAACCACCAGGAACATCTGTGGCACCGCCAAAGTGGGCCCTAGGACACCTGCCGGTTTTCAGTTCCCAGGAGGTGGGCGGGCGCCCGGCATGGGTGGCGGCCACACGGGGCTCTGCTTGGCCCGCAGGAGGCAGACCAGCGGATCCTGCAGGCGCTCCTGGAGAAGGAAGACGAGAGCCAGCGGGTGCACCTGGCTCGACGTGAGCAGGCCCAGGCCGACGTGGCCTGGATGAAGCAGGTGCTTGAGAAGCAGCTGCAGCTGGAGAAGGAGCGGGAGGCAGAGCTGCAGGTGCTGCTGAGGTAAGGGCTGACAGCCATCTGGGCGTCCCTACCCCACTGGTCACCGCCGGAGGACCCTCACCTGTCACACCCATTTGTCCATCCTTCAGGAAGAGCACATCTTGGCTGTTGGGCCCAGCTTTGGGGGGTGTGGGTGGGGGGTGATTCCATTCTAGGGGGCTGAAAGTGGCAGTCACGTTAGAGGGTCGAGATGTGTTGTTCCAAAGTCTTAGAACTTTTTGAAAAACTGGCTCTGAATCAGGGAGCTGTTGAGTGCGGTGCACAAGTCTATACGGATGGGGCTGGATCCTCAAAACTGCCCCTGTTGAGTAGTCAGGTAACCTGAGAACAGGACACACTTTGTGCCAGCCTTGAGGATTTGAATCTGATGCCCAGCCCACCAGGCCGGCCCCAGGAGAGGGGACAGGAGGCTTGGACCCCAGCCCCTTCAGGGTCCCGATGGCAATGGTGGCAGAGCACATGGGGCGTTTTCTGAAAAGAGACGTGGTGTGTTAAAGAAGGCAGTTTCCAGTACGTACGGCAACACTCGTGGGAACATTGCCCTTCACCCGAAACTTTTAAAGGCTTGTACGAAGAACATGCAGGAGCCCAGGCTAGGGGCCTGGTGTGTTCTCTAGCTGACGCGCTGCTCTCATCCGGGTTGTGTCTGCCAGGGATGAGGCCAAGGAAGTGTGGGAGAAGCGAGAGGCAGAGTGGGCCCGAGAGAGGAGCGCACGCGACCGGCTGATGAGCGAGGTAACCGCAGGGGGCTCCGACAGCGCTTATCACAGTCCAAACAGCCATCGTGTCCAGCACATCTGTGCATAGGTTGCCATCACCATTTTCAAAACATTTTCTTTCTACTTGAGCCCTTGGCATCAGCTCCTCTTTTTTATCACCCTCCTTTACCTTTACCCTCATGACCTATTGATAAATTATAAAATAATTATTGTTTTCATATCGGATACCGTCTGCTGTCTCCCTTTGCCCACGTTTCTGTCGTTCATCCCCCTCGGTGGGGGTGAGGGGGTTTTATATGTCACTCCTTGCAATCGGTTCCCTTTCTCCCTCCTCTCCCCCTCCCTTCCCCCATGAATTCTTTTAAATGGTCTTAAATAGCATAAAGGCAATAGAAGCTTATTAGAAGATTCAGAAGTACAGAAAAGTGAAAAACTAGGACAAACCAAACCCCAGAGGCATATCAGCACCCACCTGTATCCACACATCAAACCCATTGCTGATGTGCTGACCAGTCACAGCGACACCTGGTGTTTCACAGGGGAATTGCGCCCCGTGTTTATATCTACGTGAACCACAGCCATGGAGTCAGGGCCGACTCTCAGCGACCCTGTGCAGTGTTTCTGAGGCTGTAAATCGTTACTGGAGCACTGGTAGGCTTGAACCGCCGACCTTGTGGTTAGCAGCTCCAACATGTATGGCCTCGTGGCATGGTGGTTATGTGTTGGACTACAGTCCGCAAGATTAGCAGTTCAAAGCCACCAGCCGCTCTGCAGGAGAAAGATGAGGCTTTCCACTCCCACAAAGAGTTACAGTCTCTGAAACCCAAAGGGGCAGTTACACCTTGTCCTACGGGCTCGCCAGGAGTCAGAATGGATGGACTGGAGGACATGAAGTTTTGAATTCTTCTGTTCCTGTGAAGGGGGGTTGGGGTGCAGGGGCTAAAGTGCTTGGCTGTTGACCCGACGGTCACTCATCAAGCGCTCCAAGGGCGGCGGAAGGGGCAGTCTGCGGCTGCTGTGTTAGGTGTCTTCGAGTCGCTTCCGACTCCGTGCACAACCGAGCCAAACACTGCGCCATCCTTGTCACATTCCTGTGCCTGAGCCCTTTGTTGCACCTCATTGAGGGTCTTCCTCTGCTGCTGCCCCCCCCCCCCACACACACACACACACACACTTCTCCAAGCATACTGTCCTTCCTGCTGGGCAGGTAACAAAGCAGCTGCAGCCTCTCCCAGGCTGGCAGGCAGAGCAGGCACATGGTAGAGTCACACTGGAACCTGCCCTGTCTGTCTGTCTGTCTGTCTGTGGAGGACAGGTTCTGGCGGGGAGACAGCAACAGATCCGAGAAAAGATGGACCAGAACCGGCGTGCCCAAGAGGAGTCCTTGAAGCAGCGGGAGCAGCTCATCTGCCAGCTGGAGGCGGTGAGGGAGCAGGGGCAGTGCGAGAGAGAGGAGAACGAGGCGCTCCGGGTGGCGTGGACGCAGGAGCTGGGAGCCCAGGTGAGGCTCAGCCCGGGGGGCAGCTGGCGGGCGACTCCCAGGCCTGTGACTGATGTCCCATCCATTTTGTTGCTAGTCAAAGCCCTGGCCACACAGCGGGGAGTCCGAGTTCCCTCCCCAGAGCACCCACAGGTGCACACTCCCCCGGCCGTGGCTGATGTTGCTCCTGACCCCCAGGTGGCAGAGCGGCAGCTGCAGGCGCAGGACGAGGACCAGCAGGAAAAGTTGATGGAGCAGGAGACCAGGCGGGCGGAGCAGCTCAACAATGCCCTCCTCCAGCAGGAGGCCCAGATGCTGGCCCGGCAGGGCTACCGGCCCAAGGTAGGAGCCTACAAGGGCCACCCAGGCTGCCCCTGCCCTGCTCCTCTCTCGTCGCTGTTTGGGCTGGTTTCAGTCCCCAGTGGGACCTCAAATGGCACCTGTCCACCCTGTCTGGGGACAGAGTCCTAGAAGAGGAGCCCTGAGGAGTGGTGGAGAAGCTGCAGGGCTGCTCTGGCTGCAGACAGCCCGGATGTCTGGGAGCAGGAGGCCTGCTTCCAGCCCTTTCGCCTCTCACCCGCTCTGCTTGTCAATCTCCCTCTGGTGGTCTCCCCCCAGCTTCTCTCTCCTGATCTAAGTGCCCTGCACAATGCACCTGGGGAGCTCTAAGCAAAGCTGTGACCTTGTCCGAGGGAGGGAGCTGCTGACTAGGCACCCGGATGACGAGGCCCCAGCGGGCCTGGCCTCAGCCCCTGCAAGCCCTGCTGGCAGCAGAGGGAGGGCTCCTTCCTCAGTCAGCTGGTTCCAGGAGGCAGGGAGGAGAGCCAGGCCTGTCTGCGGTTACCCTGGGATGGCCCAGATCACAGACCCTCCAGCCGCTCAGGAGCAGCCCTTGCCTTGGCTCCTCTGCCCAGGGATGGAGGAGGTGCCCAGGGCGAGGCTCCTACAGAGGCACCGGGAACCTTTTCTGAGCCCCAGACTGTTTACAGAGCCCTCACAGGCCTTGTATATGGCTAGTGGTCGGAGTTCCTGCTGTGAACGAAGCCAACCATTGAAGCTGGGCCTCTGGCTTGTACGTCAAATGGGAATGCATTCCCAGAGACTGCCGGTCTGATCAAGCCTCTATGTTCTTTGTCTTCCAGGCTTACGGACACCCCAAGATCGCCTGGAACTGACTCCGTGTATTTCATCAGCACAGGGGTGCGTGTGTCGGGGTTCGAGGTGTGTAGCAGCCAAGGCAGGTGTACGATACTTGGTGATGGCCACTGCACCCCCTCAGGGCTGTGAGCCCTCAGCCATGACTGGCCAGACCCTGAGGTGCTGAGCCTCCTTGGGAGCACCCTTCAGAGGCCCTTGCCTGCCTCTTGTGTCCGAGGAAGCCCATTTGATGGCGTCCACAGCTGCAGCCCCTTGACGCGAGCTTCTGTCCTCCGTACTAAGAGTGAGCTGTCCTGTTCCGTGGCAGGGCCTGTCCTTTCGTCTTTCCTTGTGCTGTCAGCCTCCTGCGAGAGCCTAGCTAGAGACGTGAGGCAGTCCTTCAGGACTGAAAACTGATGTAAGGAGTCTCTCTCACGAGCAAGCAAGGAGTGGGTCCGGGTGCCTTTACACAGGGCTCTTGGAGGAGCGCATCCGTCCTGTTTTGCGAAAGAAGAGTGATTAGCCAGTGGTCACTCCGATGGATGCTCTGTGGGAAGGTATGGTGTGGGGGACAACACTGGGGCGGCACTGCAGTGGAACGCCAAGCGTGGGGTTGGCACCTGGTGGCTTAATCCTTCAAAGGCAGCCCCCTCCAGACCCCGCCCCCTGCCTCGGGGAGGGCCTTCCACAGCTTTCCAGGATGTCCAGGCCCTGAAGGAGGTGCCTCAAGCCGGACGGCAGATCTGAAGGCCACAGAAGCTCCAAGGCCTGCACTCATGCCCATGACTGGCTGTGGTTCCATGCCCTGCCCTAGGCCTCAGCTCCCATCACGTGTTCAAGACTCCATGTCTCAGCACATTCTCATCTCTGCGGCTAATTACAGGACGCTTGGTCCATGGTCCCTAAAGCCAGAGCTGACTAAACCCCCTCCATCTCAGGGCTTGGGGTGGCCACACATGTCCACTGTGCACAGAAGCAGGTGTGGCTCTGGGTTGTCGCGGGAGCTATGGCTCCCGCCCGTCAGGAGATGGGAGCTGTGCTCCGACTCCGAAAACCACTGGCCATCTTACAGGCGGAAGCTTCAGAAAGACCACGAGAGTCCATGGTCTTCCATCCTGTTTTGGAGAACTTTGTGAAGCCCCTGGTACTGTCTGTGTCTCCTAACCAGTGTGAGCAGAATGTCTAATAAATGACATGCAAATACTGACTGAATAAATTGTGTTTCTTTCCTTTTCTCTTTGGTGTGTTTGCTGCCTGGCTGTCCCCTTCCTTCTCAGCATTAAGAATCAGGTTACACCGACTCAATAAGCCCACGCTTGGGCAAGGGAAAAGGCAGATGGGGGACACAGTGGCTGTGGCCATGGGCCCAAACAAGTGTCAGGCTGGCACAGACCAGGCAGTGGTCTGTGGCCGGAACCTACTTGACAGCACTTAACAACATATTGAATATGTATTTTATCTCTACCCATCCCAACCAACTGCCAGCAAGTTGATGCTTACAGTGGCCCTATAGGGTACAGTAGAGCTGCTCCCTAGTTTCCAAAGCAGTAAATCTTCATCTTTCTCTTGGGATCAAACTGCTGACCTTGTGGGTAGAGCCCCGCACGTAACCCACCAGGACTCTGTATTTCATCTCAAAGTGGGGCCAAAACATTTTTTAGAGCCTACACTCAGCACAGATTTGTGTTCTGGCCGTCCATGCAATGTTTAGTGCTCGTCACCAACATCATTCTTCCTTGTGCCTTGACTGGCTTTCACACACATGAAACAATCGAAGGTACCATGGCTTGGGCCAGGTCCTCAAAGTAGCATCATGCACATGCTTGCGTGCGTACACACACACACACACACACACACACACACTCCATTTATTCCATCACACAGTGACCCCTGTGGTGCCAAAGTAGGGTTTTCAATGGTTGAATTTGGGGGGGCGGGGGGCGGGGCAGATAGCCCGATGTTTCTTCCAAGGCCCCTCTGGTGGGCTTGAACTACTAACCTTTTGATGTGTGAACCACCTGTGCTGCCCAGGTCTCTGAAGCTCACAGGGAAGGCTGTTAGTGGTGTTCCAGGACACAGGGTGCTGTGGTGGTGTACATGTCCACCCCGGCTCGGGCACCGTTTCCAGCTGACTTTCTTGGAAGCATCGTACCTCGGCTCCAAGTCAGGCTTCCTTCCGCTCACTGGGGGGAACCCTCCTCAGATCCTGGGGGGTAGGGTGGGCAGTCCACCCAGACGGAAAGGGACCCTCCCGCTTCCAGACAGGTGGCGGGTGCTCCAGGAAGGCTGGCCTGGGTAACTTGGTGTGCCCCATGGAATCTAGCTGAATTGGGCAATGCCCCCCCCCCTTCAGAGCAGGGTCTCACTTGCACTGCATGGACTGAATATCTCAATTTGAAACAAAAGGTGAGAAAGGCAAAAATCAGGAATTGGAAGACCGGCCAGAAAGTGACACCATCCCCCACCCCCCACTACCCCAAGCCCTCTTCCTCCCAGCAAGCCTCCACCAGCAGGCTAGGGCCCACACAGCAATAACCCCAGGCCCGGGCTGGGTGGAGAAGAGGGGCTTGGCCCCTCTCCCCTGACACTTCCACCCCCTGGCATCCTCCCTCCTTCCGCACCTCTGCCAAGGTTGCGGTGATTTCTTGCTCGTTCCCGGAGACTTGTCCTTGTCAGCAAACACTGTTGAGGTGTAGGGACCAGGTGGCACAGGGGCCCGCAGTCTGGGAATGGGGGGTAGACACAGACCTTCAGTATTCCCGTGGTCGCTCAGAGCCTACCTGCCCCTCCTGGAGCGGAAGGACCAGAGCTCTCCGGCCCCCTCAGCGCAGGCACCACAGTGCCCTCTGCCACTAGAGGGGCGGCATGCTCTGGGGGACTTGTCAGTGACTGGCCACTGTGAGGGTCATAGAAACCCCCTCTGGCCACCTAGACGAGCAGTAACTAATGAACGCATTTTGAGGCTGTCAAAGGGGCCTTCCCCCACCCTTGATGAGACTTCACTTCCCCCCAAGTGGGCTTCCTGAGTGAGGGTTCAATGCACCAAAGCAGGTAAAAGCGTGTGGGGTGGGTGAAGTTCACAGTTAACAAAATCTCACGATTCGGCATCATAACCACCTGCCTCTGGCTACAGCAGCCGCTCAGTGCTGTGGGGCAACGGCTTGAAAATGGTCACAGCAGCCCCTCGGGCTCGAAGGAGGTGCTCACAGCCAGCCTGTAGCCCTGGGATCCCAGCAAGGAAGACCCATCCCACCCCTTCTTCCGTCTAGTCACCTCTTCAGACCATCATTAGGGGGCTGCGGATGGCCTTGACGAACCCCGACGCGTGCACGCACATGTGCGCCCCCGCCTGAACCTGCTTGCTGAGCCCACCTCAGGCAGTGAGCCTGACTTCACCTGAGAAGGGCCCACCTGGCGCTGCTTCCTCTCGCTCAATTCCTGACATCATGCTTGGGGCGCCCATGCACCCTAAGATCTCCGGAGGCGGAGTTGAAGGAAGCTGCCGTGGGAGGCGCAGAGAGAGCCCAGGCCATCTTACTGCTGCTGACAGAGCCACCAGGAGGGCTCCCAAAGAAACCCTGGTGGTGCACCCGGTTAAGCACCCAGCGGCGAACCGGAAGGCTGGTGGTTGGTACCCAGGCAGAAGCTCCACGGTCTCTGCTCCAGGAAGGACGGGCAGCAGTCCTGGGAATGGACCCTATGTCCCCAGGGCCTCCTTCCACCCTCCAACAACGGCAGGCTCACCACAGACACTTGTAGGGCCTGTTTATTGCATAAGAAGCAGACACAAAATCCCAAACAACTTTACAACGCTCGGCGGATTGTACATAATTACAGGAAGAGAAGGTACATACGAAGGGGGAGGGCAGGACAAGCGACCTGGGGGAAAAGGCATTTCCTCTTCCTGTGCAGCATATTCCTTTGTCAAAAGAAGGGTTGCCTTCGACAGGGACAAGGGGAGAAACCAAAGTCCTCATTGCTGGAAAGTCCATGGATGCTGTGGAGGACACAGCAGGCTGGAGTCCCCTATGGGGGTGCAACTGCAGCCAGCAGGGTCAGGGGTGTGTGACAGCTCCCCGGAGTCGTGGAGGAAACAGGGCCTGGGTGGTCTAAATTCGGCATTTGATCCGCAGGTCTGACCCCTTGTTCTTTGGCAAACAAGAACTATTTGCATTTCCGTAGCAGTTAAAGACCTGTCGGGGACAGCTGCTACCGTCTGTCCACCAAGTGCCATGCTGTCAGGTGCACTGTCCCATCAGCTGGGGAGAGGTCAGGGGGGTGTGAGTGGAAAAGGACTCCTTCACGCAGATGTGACCACTTTCTAGAACATGGGGTCAGAAAAAAGGGCGGAGCCTCTGACTCAAGGAAGTGGGAGGCTCTTAGGAGGGCCACCTGCAGCTCCTCTGCCCGCTGGACCCCCCACCTCCCCACCCCCAATTCTTCTCAGCACAGCTGTGTGCGTGACCAGAGGCGGTGTCCTCACTCCGAGCGTGCTGTCGGCTCCCTCTCTCTCTGGGCATCAAAGCAATGTCCTGTAGCGAGGGTCCTTGGGCATTCTGACGCCCCTCCCTGCACCCTCGGACAGCACATTCCTCTGCAGCCTCCGGGGGTGGGCGCAGCCTCCCTGGCAATGGGCCTTTGCTGAGGACCTGGGTGGGTCCAACAGGAGGGGCAGCTCAGGACAGGAAGCTGCCAGAAAGGGGGTGGGGTGGGTGGTCCTTGCACCCAAGGCAGAAGACTCCTTCTCGAACCTACAGCTTCACCTTGGCACCCGAAAGACCTCTCATGGCCCTCAGGGCTGTACGGATAAAGGTGATGTATTTCAGAGGTGTGAACCCTTTCCCTGGGTGTCCACCGCAGAGCCAAAGCCCAGCCGAAGCGCCCGCTCACCAGCTCAGGAGACCCTGCACTGCTGTGGCCCTTGCACGACAGCACGCGGGCCCTGAATCCAATGGTCTGTGCAGAGAGAGACAATTAGCCCTGGGACTAGCCTGCCTCCATCCTATGAGTGAGAGACCACCCAGGGACTGAATATGGGGTTCACATGCAGATTAGCAGCAGCTGGACAGGGCAGGGCAGAGCAGAGCAGGAGAGGTACAGAGAGGACAGCCTAACGGCCATGGCTTCCTCACACAGTGAGAACGTTTGAATTAGTTGCCAACTTTTAAATACGGAGACATGACCCAAAGAAGTCCAGATTTCAGGCAGCTTTTGACAAGTCACAGGTCTGGCAGCACAGGCCCATGTTCCTACAGGGCTCCCCAGCTGCCTGGCCTTCGGGTCTAGGCTGGGGGTCCGAGCCACACCCTCACTGAACTGCTGCACTGAGCAGGGGCGGGAGTAGGTTTCGATACTCAGACTGAGCAGCCTCCCCCACTCCCGCCCCCACCTCAGTAATTCAGCACGTTCCAGCACTTAGACCGGTCCTATCCTCCCTCACGGCTCTGGACGGGCTGCTGGCCAGGCAGCGCACACCCCCGAGGAACCTGACGAAGCTGGTGCCCAAGTCTGAGGATCGGGAACTCGGGGGATTGCAAACATCTCCACCAATGAGAAGTCCTTAGGGGTCACCACAAAAGGGGAGGCTGGTCATGAGGAAGCTTTCAGAGGTATAAGGGTCACTGCAGTAGGGCTGCAAGGCACGCTGCACCGCCAGGGAGAAGAGGGTGCCTCCCTCGCAGTTCAGAGCCGTGCTAGCCTGGCACATATTAACCAGATGCTCGGCTCCTGCTCCTCCTGGCCGCACACTGTGGAAGGGCAGCCGGCGACGGGCTGACATCACCGTGGCACTCTGGCCCTGAGCCTGGCCAAAGGGACTCGGGCTGTTTCCTCTGGCCTCGTGCAGACTTCACAGTGACAGGCAGAGACAGAAACATTCAATCGGGGACATTTGATGGGGAGGGCAGCTCCAAGAAAGCGAGGCATCTGGGGCTGCACTCCAAGAGCGGTTGCGACACAGTGTTTACAAAGGTGCGTGGAGAGACACCACCGCAAACGGAGGAGGCTTTGCAGCAGTCAGTTGGAAGGGGACAGATAAAGTTGATTTTTTTTTTAGCTCTTCATGAAAATGTTTTACTAAAGCCTTCATTCATAGTTTTCACTGTCGGCAGGGAGGAGGCTCACGGGACGAAGAAGTCCTCTGGAACGGTGGGCAGTGAAGTCCTGCTCCAGGGGGTGGACGGCCATTCAGTCACTGACAATGCCACAGGAAGTCTGAAGCTGGGCCGGCACACAGGCACGAAATAAGGCAAGTGGGTCAAATTCAGGGCTGGGCGTTTGTTAGAAAACATGCAAAAATAATACTGAGCTTTCTTTTAAAAAGTCTGAACCATCATTAAATGCTGGTCTGGGTAAAAAACTGACCGGTCCTCGGCTACATTTGAAAGGCGACGTTAAAAAAGCCCTGGAAAGAGCAAGGCCCCCGGCTCTCACCTACCCCCGCCCCCCGCCCCAACGCCCTTCAGTTGTGGTTCTCTTTGGTGGTGATGGTGACCAGCTGCTTGGCAGCCTTGGCGATGTCGTATGCACACTGTATGACCTGCTGCGTGACCAGCTGAATGTCTGTGGGGGAGCCGGGGTCCCCAGGAAGGGTCTTCCTGCACTCGGACTGGAGGCGGTAGGCACTGGACGTCAGCAGTCGGAGGGACGTCCTCACCAGGTCGGACTTGGGCTTCTGGGAAGAGAGAGAGCCGACAGCTGTGAGCTGGAGGGGAGACTCCCCGGCGCGAGGGACAGGCCTCCCTCTGAGCACAGGCCCAGGCGCTCCACATCCTGACAGGCACACTGGTCAGGCCTGTCCTCACCTGGAAGCCTGGTGCTTCCCAGGGCAAGAAGCACTATGACCATTTTGAAAACGATCAATTCACTTGGTGAATTATCCCAGGTAAGACTGCATTCTGAGTGTCTTTCTGCCACCCGCTTAAGCCCATTATTCACATAGAGCCAAGACATACCTGTTTCTGAGAGCTCTGCGTGGTATAAAAACGTCACTGTCATGCCAAAGTCAGAAAGAGGTGCCTTACAGGGAGTAGGAAGCGACTTACTTTGGGGAACAGGGCTGCCATCTCGGTTACAGCTGCGTGGATCCTCTCTGAGCAGGGAATATAACTGCAGGAACATCGGAGAGGCGACATTCAATGACTGAGTCCTCGGGCAAGGGGAGAGCGCCCATTCCCTGCTCCTTCCTGGGAGGCCTGAGGCCCCACCAGGCACCCTGCATCTATCTAACCGCCCTGAGGGTCCCCCTGCCCCCCCATTCAGTCACTCGAGTCAGAGCAGGCGTGCGGGCCTGAAGTGCAGGCCACACAGCCATAGAGCAGCTCTCTCTCCACACCTCAGGCTGGTCACTTATTTTCCATGTGTTGGACCTTCCTAGTTTCTTGAAAGGGCAATAGAGATCCCCATGTAAAAGGCCACGGGCATTACAACCGGAGGACTGACAAAACTCTAACATCCGGAAGGACGGGGCCTCCACCTTAAAGCGCCTTTAAGCAAGGACAGTGCAAGCTCCTTCCCTAAGCCTCTGAATGCAGGGCGGGGACGGGAGCGAAGGGTGGGTATTCTACTCTGAGAAGTCAGCTTCTCACAGTTTGTACCGTGATTAACGGCAGAGCCCCTGCTTGGCGCTCAGCTGCCACCAGCAATGTTGGGGGTTCATGTTCACCCCCACATCAGCTCAAATGAAAGGCCTGGAGACCTACTTGCAGGTTGAAACCACAAGGTGCCCAGCTCCACTCTGATAGACAATGGTCATTGAGACAGGCAGGAAGTCAGGTTCACGTGATGAATCTGTTCACGTGACCACACTTCCCACCACAGGGCATCAGGGCGCTCGGGGGAGGAGCAGCAGGGAAGGTGGGAAGAAACAAGGGCAGCCTTCACGGTGGCTTCTTTCCCTTCCATCCAGGAGAAATAGCCCTTCGTTAGGAGGCACAACTCGGTTTCTAGCGGCATGTGTTCTCAGAGAATCTCAAGATGACGGTTAAAAAACAACCCCCCAGATCCCAAATTACGGCACGTGTTCCAGCCTGAGTTTTCCACGGCTGTCGAGCTGAGTAAATTGGAAACCCATTCCCGGTTGCTCAGCTCTCTCCCTGGGACGGAGCAGGGCTTCGGGTCCCGCACCTGTCGTGCTTGTTCTCTTGGGCGGCTCGCAAGAGCTCCTGTATGTTTTTGGTGATCTGCTCGGTCTTGCGGATGACGTCCTCGGTACTGGGGAGCGAGGGGCTGGGCGTCGTGTGGGGCTCAGTGGCATTTGGGGCCGGGCTGTCACCTGGCCACAGCATGCTCCTCTGCCTTCCCTTCCGGCTTGATCTGTGAATGACATAGCAGAAGCTAAACACAAGGGGAGTTGTCAGGGAGATAGCTCCTCAGCCCTTAACCTCACTGCCCGCAAGTCAATTCTGGCTCACACCGACCCTGTGGACATTGGCAGAAGGCCCCATCAGGAGGCAGTTCTGATCCATCCCTGCGCCCTCAGGGGCTGGGGATTATTCAAGGGCCTCACAGAGGGGTGGGGAAATGGAATGGGGTGGGCATCTTTCTAAAGCCAACCCCCACAGAGCTAATTCCTTGGGCGCAAATGCCAACTGTAACCTGATGTCCGCTGCCTCGGGTCACAGATGCCGAGACCTGTATCGGCAAGGGGAAGGCATGGGCACTAGGCCTGTCTACCTGAATACCTAAGACCTTAGGGGTCTGAGGAGAACGGGGATGTCGGAGATGAGGGGCTTCGCCCGCTGCTGCTGTTGCTAATTCAATTCACCACTGAGCTGATTCCAACTCATGCCACCCCTAGCCCCCCAACACACAGCCCCCGCCCCGTGGGGTAGAGCACAACTGCTCCACAGGGTTCCTTGGCTGTCATCAAGAGGAGCAGGTCACCAGGCCCTTCTTCTGTGGTCCTGATGGGGGCGCTGACCTGCCATGCTGCAGCTTGGCAGCCGAGTGCCAAATGCCTGCACCCCCTAAGGCCTGCTGGGCCCCGGGGGGTTAGAGCCCACCCCGGGGCGCTCTTCCTGCCACTGTACCCCACGTCCTCGGGCTCCATGTCGTTGGGAGTGTTGTCGTAGTCGCTCTCAGGGGTGCTGTTCTGTTTCTCCAGCCTGGAGGCCTGAGGTGGAGACAGGAAAGGAGCTCCCTGTTAGTCTAGGACGGGAGGCGCTTGCGGGGCACTCCCCCAGGCACGTCACCTCCTCACGGGCCACGTCACCTTTGGGACGGGAGCCCACTCTTGGCTGGACATTTAGGGAAAGGTGAACAATGGATCCAGTAGTTTCTTTCCTTCGTCAGCAGCCTTTCCACAAAAAGATCCCTGTGATCAACTCCCCCAGGCACACAGGGCAACCACACACACATGCACACTGAGCTCTCTACGAAGAGGACTACCGAGAACAGCCACTGCCTCGGAGGGGACTCTGCGACCCTGCGCAGGGGGCCTCCAAGGTCGTTCAGCCCTTAGGGGAGCAGAAAGCCTCATCTTGCTCCTGCACGTGGCAGGTGGATTTGGACTGCCGACCTCCAGGTGAGCACATCTTCCTGCTCACCCGGCACGCACAAAGGCTCCTGGAGAACTGCTGCTGTTTGCTGTCGAGCCAAAGCCTCCACATGTGTGGCCCAGGGCTGCTGTCGAGGGAGCTGATGGCCAGGCTTGACTCTGGAGGTACAGCTGGGTGGGTTTGAACCACCAACCTTCCCGTTGGTAGTGGGGCTTAACCACCTGCACCACCTGGGGCTCCATTAGAAAAAAACAACACAACAACCTACCTGCCAGATCTTAAGGAACTACAGGCCTGCTGGGCAGGCAGCTCCCTCAGACGCCCTCATCTACCAGTCTACTAGTGGAGGTTTCTTTGGGTGGGTGGTCCACCCAAGGCCATGGTTAGAGGAGAAACACAGACCCAGGAGCCCAGGCTGTCTGTCTTTGACTAGTGCTGTTGTCTCAAGCCTGCGGCTCTGAAGACCGGGGCGCTCCTGAGAAGTGCCCAAGGAGACCCTCGCCTTTTACGGCCACACAGGAAAACCAGTCTCGTTCATTTGCAGACCCGGTGTTTCAAAGCAGCAGGATACTTGCGAAGAGGAGGCTGACGGTGAGTTGAAGTAGCTGCAGGAATGGCCTCCACGTGGCAACGTCTGAGCATGGCACAAGAGCAGGTGGGGTTACTCCGTCGTACAGAGACTGGTGCCGAGTCAGGACTGTCTTGACAGAGTCTGACAATCAGACACCTGGCTTCAAATCACTGTTGTCCACTTAGAAATCTACCACTCCTCCACCCACCCTACAGAAGATAAAGGTTTGGTGCAGCTGTGAAGATGGAAAAACGGCAGCAGTGCCAAATAGAGGACTTGCCGGATGACCACATTAGAAGGGGACCATGTTTCCTTGAAGGAAACTAGGTCCCAGGCCTGTCTGGA